CGGATTTTCGGTAAGCGCCGACGCAGACGTGCGAACAGTCAATTAAGAACACCTCATGGAGAAAGAACTTGAAGTCCAAGAAAGGAACTATCATAGAAGATGTTTGTTTCCAACTATTACCGTCTCCTCATTTTGAGGGGATTGCTTTTCTCAAACGGTCGAACGTGGCCCGGAACTGATTTGTCTTTTTCTTTAAGCATTTAGAAAGTAAATCGTCCAGAACACTTGTCATCATTATCTTAAAAAGTATATTTTTTAATGTTCAAAGCTTATTTGTTCAGAAACCCCGGTATGTATTTTCAATTCGCTAGAGGTAACGCCAGCTTCACATCGCTTTCTCTAATGCTTGCTTATTCTACAAGATACCTTTCTCAACACAACTTATTTTCCAATAGGCCAGCTATTGAAAAATTATCTGTCACGAAAGTATGAACAGCGATTATTGAACCAAGTCGTAGTGATTCAAGGGCTTGAGACGATCAGTTTCACTCAGATGAAATAGTGATTGTGACCATGCACTCAGTTTCCATCGATCTCAATCGTGTGGCTGTGTATGCATATTCACACGAGTGACACGAACACAAAAATGCCATCATGTGAATGGTTTGCGAAACGCCACGCCGTACCGATCCGGTTCCATCATAGCTCATGATCTCAACAGTGACGTGGAACGAGGTAAGCCTGGCACTGATGCACTTAACCTTGACAAACTTATCCAATTCGAATAAGGCTCCTCTGACGTTATTCAGCATATCTTGAGGACTAATGATGGAAACCACACCGATTCTCGATTATTTCAGAAGAGAATCAGGTGTAGATACCATTCAGAACTGTCAGAACTATTGCTATGCAATTGAATCCAGTGCTCCAGTACGCAAAACTAATTCCCTCTTCTGCGTCAAAGGAGAAACCACTTTCTCGCCACCCATGTATCGTTCTGCAATGTACGGGAAAAAAATGAATAAACAAAACTTGTTTTCTAAATGAAGTCTAGGCACAGAGCCTCAGCGACTATTTTCGGTCTCGTGAAGCCGAGTGCAATCCATAGAACAGCAACATGAGTTACGCTCTAGATTGTTGCTTTGGTATCAAAATGATGACAAGACACTACTTAGTCCAAGGATGAGAGATTCGGACGCGAGAGTGACGAGCAACGTATTGTATGGTCTGGCCAGCGTGGATGAACGCAAATCTAAATGTGGGGGAGAACGATACTTGTATAGCCCATTTAACCTACCTTTACAAGATATTCGCTGAATGGATCCCTCTCTCAAAAAGTATTGTTCTTACCTATACATAAACTGATGACCCTTCAGGTGCAGATATAAAAATTGCTGAGGCGTAGCTTTCGATTAACAACAAAAATTGAGAGTTAAGCTGATAACTGAATTGGGCCTATAACCCAAATTACGCCCTAACACTGCTACACGGTAAGAATCTAACAGATTATGAGGGGAACTGAATATCTGGGTAAAACCGAGAAACTGTGTATGGTGGCATTCGAGGTGGAAAGAGCAAGATGCCAAAAAG